TTTTTTTTATATTTATTGACTATTGTTGGAATTAGCAAGAGACAAATTTAAAATTACAATTGCAACAAAAAATCCCTAAAGTAAATTGAGAGCAGTTTTAATGTCATTTTCTGTTTATTTAACTGCATATCTTATAGACCGCGACCTAGCGCAGATGGGTGTGGCGTCACCGAAAAATATCTGGCATTTTGAGGTCTGAAAAAGGTAAGTTAGTTAATGAAAATAAGGATGGCTTTAAGGGCCGAGCAGTGTTCGAAAATTTGGAAAATTAATTTCCTTTTGCATAAAATAATTAGTTTTTTACTCATCTTAAAGTGTCTGGCAGTTGATGCAAAAATAGACATTAATAAGTACCTAACAATTTTCAAATGCCAGATGGTTTTAAATAGCCGAAAGGGTGGTTCATAGGGGTGAACTAGCAAGAAGAAAAATTCATCGTTTATTTTTGTCTGGCAATCGAAACAATGAAAATTTTTGTTATGAAAATAAAAATAAATTGTCAGACGGTTACCAATGTTCGGAGTCGAGTATCTCAGCGGAAAATTATGTGAAAATGTTTAACATTTTTCAGCGAAATTAATGTACAAAATGACGGCCATTGTGTTTGCAGTATTACAAAATGTTATTAATTTTTCAATGCCAGACAAATTCGCCGGTTCGAAAATTTATAAATAAATAAAAAAGGCCTGAAAAAATTTATAAAAATTTCAATAATCTATTTTTGTCTGGCATTTTACATTTTAATTAGAAATGCGCGTATAAATACAACATACAAATGCCAGACAAGTTGAGCTTTTCGAAAACGTATAAATAAATTATAAAGTTACAAAACAGACGCCAGACAATTTAAAAAAATTAAATTAAATAGTTGTAAAAAAAATTATTGAAAACTTCAGTGTCTTTTTTTTCTCCGGCAATTAGTTTTTTAATAAAAAATACATTTACAAACTCAAATTAAAAATGCCAGACAAGTTGGGCTGTTCGAAAATGTATAAATAAATAAACAAAGTTGTAAAAAGATACAATTTCTCATTTGTTTTCGACTTATTCCTGCAATTTTATTTCTTAATTCGAATATTTAAATTTACGGAGGTTTTTTCTATTTTCCAGCTTTTTTTGGCTAGGTAAGTCACTTCCGTTGACAGCATCAAATTTAGTAAGAAATTTTACGTCGGAAATAGTATCTTGAGTATGTTTCCCGAGTAATTACAGCTTATAATATAAAGGAAAAAAGTCGAAAAAAATGAGAAATTGTATTTTTTTACAACATTGTTTATTTATTTATATATTTTCGAACAGCCCAACTTGTCTAACATTTTTAATATGAGTTTGTAAGTGTATTTTTTATTAAAAAACGAATTGCCAGACAAAAAACACTCAGAAGTTTTCATTAATTTTTTTACAACTATTTAATTTATAAATTTTTTTTTTATTTTCGAACGACCAAACTTATTGTCTGGCGTTTTAACCTAAAGTATATGTATTTTCAATAGTAATGCAAAATGCCAGACAAAAATTAATCGTTTAAATTAGGAAAAAAAGGAAACCAAGTTTTCATAAATTTTTTTATAACTTTACAATTCATTTTTACATTTTCGAACATCTCAACTTGTCTGGTATTTGTATATTGTGTTTACACGCGTATTTCTAATTGAAATTCAAAATGCCAGACAAAAATAAATAATTTAAACTTTAATATATAGGGTGAGCCACCAGTAACGCCTAGGTTGTTAGAGACCAAACGGCAAAAGTTACAGAAATCTGTTTAGGTGGGTATGTGTATGTTGATTACGGCTACATTTTAAAAATATTTTGAAATATACAGGGTGTCCAGGAAAAGCGTACCATATCAAAGTTATGTTTTTTTAANATAAAAGTAATACTGAATTCCAAATTTCAATGTTCTATCTGGAATAATTTTGGAAATAAAACAAAATGCATAGATTGCCGGCCAACTTCGTGTCACCCTGTACAAAAACATCAATTTGTGGTTTCGGAAATAAAAATTCCCACTCACGTTTTTCAACATTTATTAAACAACATTTTAAAATATCGTTATATATAGAATTTGATTCCCAAAATGGACAGTCGGTACAAAGAGGAATGTATACTTTTGGCTTATAAATAGAATTCATGAATATCAAATCACCATTATTGTTCCGCCAACAATTCCGTATATTATTCATGTTAATTTTACAATAACAATTCGGCGTGGGGTAATGTGAATTCACAATGGATGGATGATAATTAAATTTATTTAAATGTTTAATATTCATAACGATATAATGAAGTTTCATCTGAAACAAAAATCGAGCTCCAACTAGCAGATATATAATTTGGAATTATTACCACCATTATTTACGAAAATTTTATATTTGATTTTTACGTAAATAATTTATATTTATTCAACAGTCCAAACAAGGTGTTTCTGAAATAAAAGGGTAATAGAAGTGGAAATGAAAATTTTCATTAAGCAACATGTGATTTAAAGTGTCGTGCGTGCTAGAAAATTAAATCACGAATTATGACACGAAACTTAGGCCGACTCTGTATCGCCCCACTTGATCAACTGATCAACACTTTACAATGCAGTAACTAAGTCAAGTTCAGTGTGGTTATTTGCGCGTCTCGGGCGCGTTCGTCCACTGATTTGTGTTGTTTTATTTAAAAATGCCTTATTCAAATCAATAATTAGCGGATATGGTATTAATATAAGAGGAGTGCATGCCTATATCAATTAGAAATGAGTTTGTATGCGAATTTTTGCCCTCAAAGACAACAACCGAATCCCAGAACAGTGGCAAACGCTGTTCAAAGACAGCTGGACGTCAGCTGAGTGAGTCCAATGTATGAAGGTCGTGGACAACAAATACTGTAACGTATTTGAAACAGAGAAGAATACATTTTCGATCGGGTCGAGGAAAACCCAAGCCGCAGTACCCGCGACATCGAATTATGTTTTTTAACATTTTAAAAGTGAGAACATATAAAAAACGACGTCTTAGAAATTGCTACTAACACCCTAAACAACAGAGCTGGTTTCAGACTTTTCTGTTTCTTTGAGTTGACATTTGACTTGAAAATATGACATTATGTTAAATTGAAATTGTTTATTCTCACGTCTACTATTACCAATTTTGAGAAACGCACTTATTTCAGAAACACCCTGTATAGATCCTAGTAGAATATCCAGTAATAACTATTATATCAATTACAGTTATTTTTATAGAAGATTATATACATATAGGAACAAGGACTTGTCAATTTTCAAGTCTTGAAATATTAAGTAAGTCGTTTTAAAGTAATTCTTGTATGCTACAATTGCATATGAAGTAATGCCATTCCTTTCTAGATCTTTGGACCAAATTCTGAATTTGCAAAGAAAACTTTCCTACTATAAATTACAAGAGACATCTTTATTTGAACTTTCACTTTTTCAAAAAGACACCCAATCGTATGAGGTACCAATATGCCAAGTAAATTAAAATCGTCGTTGGCAGTAGTGGTGATTTGAAAGGTTTTTAATTGACAAAAAACATTTAACAACATCGGATGGTGATTCACATAAAATTCTCATTGTTTTCCGTGAATGTGATGGCAGGAGCAGATCTGGGGTTCCTGTGGGAACAGGCATAGTCCAGCCTGGATAGGTGGTACTTGTACATCTCAGGACACAGCATATTGTAGCTGCCATCCACAGTGTCCTAAGGCAGATGAAAGGTTTATTAACAAGATCCAGAACCGTTCCAATATCAATGGGAAGCGATATAACTTTTACCTGACTATTACAAGGATAGAAGGCCCTCCTGGCTCTCTGATGCAGCTGTAACACTGGACACACCGATTGGGAGTGAGACGAAGGACAGTGTTCATACAGACTAGGCTCGTCTTCAAGACTTACGCCAGTTCTTCTAAGAAGGTCAGGAGTTTTGCTGCTCAGTCCTACAAATCATCAAATTAATTACAGTAATCAAGTCTAAAAACTTGGAGATGAATTTAAAAAGTTGTTTTAAAAAATATACATACGTTCAGAGCTTACACTACTGAATAATGACGAACCAACGATTTCTTCCCTTATCCTAGCAAGTCTATGCCCGGGATCTTCACCAACCAGCCAATAGGTGTGCATCTCTCCTTTACCCTTGAAAGAAGAAACAAAAATTGTAAAAGGAAGATCATCTCATTTTCGTTGAAGTAAAGAAAATTCATAAGAGTTGTTCAGATAGGACACCTCAGCAGAGACCCTGAACCTAGAGACTAAATCCTCTGGTATCTGTAATTGTCGTTCTCGAGCAAAATGTTGATGGTCTTTGGCAACAGAAATATGTTCATATTCTTCCAAAATCTATTCTTGAATCATGCTACATTAGCCTTGAGTAGTGAGAGATAACGTTAAGGTCTACAGTTTTCTGTTATTTGCACTGGTAGTCAGTTACCTTTATATGAATGATCCCCCTTTCCTCGCAAGTGTAGCCCCCCAGTCGTTGAAGCAACATGTAGGTGGCGTGGGATATGTGTACCCTGAAGGCTTCCCCGTAGCTTTCCATCCTCGAAGCTGTGTTAACGGTGTCTCCGAACAGACAATACCTGGGCATCTTCAGCCCAACAACCCCAGCCACCACGTGGCCTAAAAGAAACATGTTTAAACAACTTATGGCGATGAAATAATGTGTTTGTCGGATGGGATACAGATTTCTTTCTCTGGAAGTCATACCTGAGTGAATTCCAATCCTTAGCTGAAGAACCTCTCCTTGACGGTGCTTGATCTCGAACTTCTTGATTTTACTCAGTAAATGCAGGGCCATGGAAGCTATTTCTCCAGCGTGTCGGTCGCCATTCCTTATGGGGAGCCCACTGACCACCATGTAAGCGTCACCGATAGTTTCGACCTAAAAGTACAGTCATAAAAGGACAGAAAAGTATTTTACGAGTGGATTACGATGAAGGAAAACTCAGTTCTTCCATTGATACTGAGTTTGAAACATATTTTATTCACCTTGTACACGTCGTAGTGAGATATGATCGAATCGAAACATGTATAAAGGTCGTTGAGTAGATCGATGACTTGTAGTGGAGTACTGACGGCTGACAGTTCTGTGAAGCCTACAATATCGCTGAAATATATCGTGACGCATTCGAATGACTCTGCTTCCACTTTTTCGCCCTTCTTCAACGAATCTGCCACCGATCTGCAAAAAGGGACAAAATTATTTTAACTGCAAACGTCGTCGCTGATTGAAACCTTATAATTATTTAGATGCTACTATAAAGAATTTATTAAACAAGTCAGTAGTTTATGATGTTTGCATATCATTATAAAATATTTTCCAGGACCTGCTTGAAGTTGTTGTCGTTATTCTTCAGTGAAATTGGCTGTAGATATAAAACGTCTATTACTATGAATAAACAGCCCTGTTAAGAAAATAGCCAAACCATTTTTTAAACTTTATTATTAATTTACACTCAAATAACAGTATCACGAAAACCAATGCTGCCAATATCTCGTATTTAGAATAATGGAGGTAATTTGTTCTTATGACAAAAGACAAGATTCATGCTTATAGACCGATCTAAATAACTCATTTAGAGGGGAAAAAAAGGAAAATTGTTACCTGGACTTTTATAAGTGGAAATGGTAAAGGGGCTTATGATAAACGAAAAAAAATAAATGCGTGAGCAGGGGCGGCGTAGGGTTGATTTTGAGGGGTTGAAAAGTTATGGAAAATTGTATCATTGGGATTTCTGGCGAAAATTGACGTCAAACAAAAAAGTATCTAATATAAAAGTTGTAGATCATG